TACAGGCCTCAAACTCCTTTAGAGTAGTCAGCCACACTCCCTCAGCAAAGACTAGAGTCCCCTCTTGCTGTAATCGCTTCCTTTTGTGTGATTTACAACGTGTGGCAGCCTCATTGGCTGCCTGTAGGTCAGCAACCTGGTTGCGCACTAAAACCAGTGAATGCGCCATCAGCTCTGCGCCTTTAGTGAGCTGATTAAGAGCGTTAACCATAGACATTGGCGAGCTATTAGCGTGTCTCTAAATCCTCTCTCAAATCAGCTTCAATTAAGACCCAAATTCCAGGGTGTTGCTTAGTGTTTTAGACTCCCACGTACTGTTGTCCACAGTAGGTGGCGTTGGCGTGCGCAGCCGTACTTCAAGCTTCAATAGCACAGCCTCTAGGTTAAGTGGGACTAGGCCAGCACCTCTGAATCCCCCCTGGATGTTGCTCTCTGTGATTGAGGCGTCAAAAGCTGCTTTGAAGCACGGCAAGAACTCAAGTTTGGTGATGCGAGTAATCTTGCTGCGCATCAGCCGCTCGGCTTGGCGGCCATAGGCCTTCTTCAACGGGGCAAAACAGCCTACGTCAAGTGGCTGCAGTAGGTGCGACGAGTGTGGAGGCATACACAGGGTAATAATCTTGTGTTCCTCGCAGTACTGGTGGAATTCGACTGAGTTGTGGCTCTCATGGCCGTCCAGAATAAGCAGCCGATGGCTGCTAACAGTGCGCGCCTTTGTGTGCTCATCAAAGTGCTTCAACCACTTAACTCCAAGCTTGTTGTTAGTCTAGCTGTTGTTAGAGACATTAAGAACCTAGTTGTTAGGTATACTAGGCTCCTTGTACCAGGCAGAGAGGTGGTGCTTGCTAGAGAAGATAATAAAGGGTGGGATAGACCAGCCCTTCGCGCAGATACCTTGGATGATACTGGTCCACTCTTAGTCGCCCTGCTGCACTGCCTTTAGTCTCCCTCAATGCTTAGAGCCTGTGACAACAGCTCCTGTTAATATAACACCCATTATAAAGCTAGACTTGTTAAAGTTGTAGGTGTCTTTATCTTGTATACTATACTTAGCTTTAGTATTCTCTACTAGTTAGAACTAGTCCCTAATCACCTTAGGATCCTCACACAGAGCTCTCTTATAGTTATACTTGCAATTAAATTTAACTTTAAGCTCTGGCCAACGTTTTACAAAGTTGGCAGCCTAGTTCTTGCCAACGTAGGGCTGGTGGTGCTTAGCAAGCAGAGAATTGGCCATATCCTCCACATCAGCAAGCTGGGGTGGGTATCCTCGCTCGTCTAGCTTCAATACATGCTGGACAATCACCTCCTCCTTAGTACTAGTCATCCTTATTATGTTAGGCTTGCAATCGCGTCGTGAAGAGGTTCTAGTAAGGCGCGTGCCTAGGGTGCTTCAAGAGACCTGGTATATTGCTGCAGCGCGTCGCACGCTTAGTGTCGCGTCTTGCTGGATAGCCTGGAGGGCAAGCTGTATATATGTTTCATTTAAAGGCTTTTTTACGTTGTTGCGTTGAGGCATTACAGGGAGAGTGAAGTTCGGTGTGGTCTTGGCAAAAGTGGCCAGCTCGCTTGGGTGGCCAGCTCGCTTGTGGAGTACGTTAACGTAGTTCACAAGCGAGCGGTCCAACCCAAGCGAGTGGTCCACCTAACAGAGTTAAGATGATTGCAATGCATATGCTGCAACACCACCACCACTTACTGCAATTTGCAGGTGATAGAGATACTATTTAGACTCGTCGCTATTAGATGCATTGATAATTTCAACTGCACAGGTGCGAGCATTGTGGCTAGTCTCTCCACAACGTCCGCAACGCCTCTGTGTGCACACCTTCTTTGCAGGCTCTCCGCCCCCCTGCTGCCCACTACCCTCCCTTTCAGCTATTAAATCAGCTACCTCACCTACCGTGAGACTCTCTGCTGCCCAAATATACTTCCTCTTTCAACCTCTAACCTCTGTTGCTATCTCTACTGCCTTGCGAAGCCCTGCTATTTCCTGTCGCATTAACACGCTATCATGCCCTATCTGTGCAATGCCCTTGTTCAGCTGCTTAACTGCTCTAAGCAGAGGAGAAACTGGGGAATCTCTGTGCAGTCGTACACGCTCACGAACCAGCGTTGACTGAGCCTCTATCTCACAGAGGTTGCTTGGAGTTTTCAATTCCTATGGGGTGTCCTCTGGCTTTGGTAGAGTTGGCGTACAAAGGACCACATTAAGCTTTGATATTACTGCCTCTAGGTTGTCTAGAACTAGTCCAGCGCCCCTAAAGCCTGCACAGATGTTCTCCTTTGTGATTAACCTCTTAAAAGCTGCTTTAAAGGCTGGTAGGAAAGCCTCCTTCTTAATCTGCTTAGAGCCATACCGTGCCAAGCCACTGATCTCATCACCATATGCCCGCTTCAAAGGCGAAAAGCAACCCACATCAAGTGGCTGTAGCAGGTGCGACAAGTAAGCAGGCATACAGAGAACAATAATCTTCTCTTCCTCACAGTGTTTGTGGAATTCATGTAAGCTGTGGCTCTCATGGCCGTCCACAATCAGCAGCCTGTGTGCACCCACCTTCCAGTCTTTTGTATGGGTATTAAAGTGCTTTAGCTAGGCAATACCAAGCTTATTTAACGTCCAGCTATTAGGACTAACCTTAATTACCTAATCCTAAGGTAGATTGTAAAACTATAAGGTAATAAGGACCTTGCTAGGGAAGATAAGGAAGGGTAGGATAGCCCATCCTTTAGCGTTAACTCCTTATATATTAGTGACCTAACTACAGTTCCCTAGCTGCAGGCTCTTTGTGCTACGCTTCTTAGAGCCTGTAAAGACCATCTAGCTATAGATAACCCCTATCATGAAGCCTGTCTTGTCAAAGTTGTACATATCTTCATCTGTGATGCCGTACTTAGCCTTTGTGTTAGTAACTAGCTCAAACTAGGGCGTTATAACGCGTGCATCTTTGTTAAGGGCTCGCTGGCGATCATATGGACGGCTCCTTCAAAGCTTGATCTTAGGCGTACGCGTCTTGAAGTTGTCTACCCAGTGCTTGCCAACAGGCTCTCCACCGCGCTCAGCAAGCATATCATTAGCCATATCTCGCACCATAGCCTTTGTAGCAGGTATTCCTCTTGTGTCAAGCTCAAGTATACGTTGTACAAGGGCCTCCTCCTCTAGTTTGCTCAGCTTCTTTAAATTAGGCTTGCGATCGCGTTAAGAGAGGGCTCCTTAGCGTTGTTAGTAGACAGTAGTTTAAGGTACGCTGAAGGCTGCAATAGTGTGTCTTTTGCTCTTGTCACAATCTTTAATTATAGCTTAGATAGTAAGCTGTAAGGTCCCTTTAGTATAGGTTAATTGCACGTTGCGTTGGGATGGTATTGTAATGCAAAGTAGTTATTAGGCTATCATGGTTGGGATGGACCGCTCGCTTGGGTTGGACCGCTCGCTTGTGAACTACGTTAAAGCTAGAGATAGATTTTTATACTGCTAAGTTGCAAAAATGTTTAGAGTTGACTAAACAACGCTGTTGTAGTAGCATAACTGTTATACACACTTAAATGCAGAAGAAGCGCGCTAGTAATAGTTACTTAGCCTATAACAGGAGGAGGTACTTGTTAAATACATAGAAAGATGCACAAGAGACAGCTTGCCACCTATTAGAAGCATGCTGCAAAATTTCGCCTCTGTGGTTACAAAGTAGGAGGTCTCTAAGAGCTAGATTACTTAGTTTCTGCATCACTACGCTAATAAGCTTACCACTAAATAGACTACTAGGATAGATTGTAAGCGCTTTTTAGCTAACAGCAAGCACAAGTATAAGCTGTACTTTAATCTATTACACTCTAAGATGCGTAAGCACAGTGTTAATAAGCACAACACGTACAATATAGATAAGAAAGGCTTCTTTGTTAGCATTAATAGTTACACTAAAAGGATAGTCTCTAAGGCAATTTAGGAGTTAAAAGAGTGTACTACAGCGCTTAGAGATAGCAATAGAGAATAGGTAACGCTGCTAGCTTGCGTATGCGCCTCTAGAGAGGCATTACCACCCACTCTTATCTACTAGGGCACCTCTAGGATTTAATTAACCTAGGTTAACAACCTTATTGCTAAACAACACTAGATTTTTATCTCCTACTTAGCAACAGGATAGTTAAACAATAACTTAGGGCTTACCTAGCTTCAGCAGGTGTTTAATTGCTATACAGCAGCTAAAGCTCACTGTTAATAGTGGCTTCTGATCCTTAACAGCCACAGCAGCCACCTCACGCCTAAATTTCTAGAGTATTGCAACGCCAAACATATCCTCCTTATAGTCTTTCTACCTTATTCAACTCACAGCTTGCAGCTGCTTAATGTTGTCCTCTTTGCGCCGCTTTCAAGGCACTACACTAAGAAGCTCACCTACTACCTCTAACAAACCTAAGGCCTTACAAGGATTACAAAACCTAACTTCTACAGCAACTTTTGGCTAGCGTGGAGCGCTATAATGACTTTAGAGCTCATATTAAAGAGTTTTCAAGCTACAGGCGTGTGGCCGATGGATGCGGACGCTGTACTGAAACGCTTCAACAACCACCCACCACAACAAGACGAAGACGCAGAAATTGGAGAGCATGGCGAAGTCGATAGCTGGCCTGAGCTGCGCAAAATTTTTGACGCTGCAGTTGCTGACAAGGCCAGAATTGAAGCCAAGCAGCTGTCGCGGAGCCTCCACTCGCTACAGGTAAACAGCGAGCTTCTTCGCACTTGAAACGAGGAGCTACAACACAAGCTCAACGTCATTAAGAAGCGCCCAACGCAGTGGACAACACTGACTACACAAGACGGCGACAACTGGCACGGCGGCGCTGTCTTCTACAGTCCTAGGAAGCTTGCCCGCGACCGCGCGCGCAAAGCTGCAGAACTCAATGAAGCCGCGCAGCTACAACTCCAAAAATCTCGCGATAGAAAGGCAAGGGTGGCAGCAACAGCTCACAAAAAGCAGCAGCAAGAGGAGGCAAAGTTTGCTTGACAGCGTGCTGCTGAGGAGCGTCGCAAGGCGAAGAAAGCACAAGCTGAAGTGCTGGCTGCCAAACAAGCGCTTAAAAAGCAGCAACACAACGCTCCAATTGCTCAAAAATCTCACAATACACTTAAAAAGCGTAAGCGAAAAGTCTCACACAGTGCTGCAAAAAATCTGACAAAGCGTTGTTGTGTTGTGGCTGGTCAAAGTCGTGTTGACGCTGCACTGCCAGCTGCGTCTCCCCCACCCAAAATCACTGCGAGAGGCCGCAACTTGCAGTTACCAGCCAAATATAAATAGCACAATTGAAGCGCAAGGCTCTATATAGCAATACACCAACATTTCTCGCGATAACATCTTTTAGGTGTGGCTCTACAGCTTCATTTTTCTATTGTCAATATCTCGTTGGGGTGGCTCATCGGCTGAACAGGCTCATCGGCCGCACGGCCACGGGTACGTTATACCTACAGCAACTTCATCAAAGCGTTTCGCATCTATAAGACGTCGACGGGAGCGGTACCAAGACCACCTGAGTTGGCCAATTGCCGTTGCGACCGGCAGAAGCATGGTGGCACGCATGACGGCGCTGAGCAAAGCCAGGTAATAGTAACGCATGTGGTGGCTTCATCTCGTCACTTTGGCTGGTCAACACGCCATTAACACGATCGTCGTAAAAAAGAAGTACAGTCCGTGCGCAGTCAACGAGCCAGTTCAGTCAACGAGCCACCCCAAACCCCGCTGCCACATGAACCCACCCAACTTCAACGCGTCATAACTCCACAACCATGGACCTAATTCAAGAAGCAATTAAATATATTAAATTGCGTGAGGCTAGAGATAAATTCTTGTACTGCTAAGTTGCAAAAGCATTTAGAGTTAATTGAACAACGCTGTCGCGAAGGCACAAGGGTGCACAGGGCTCTAAGGACACATAGGCAGCTAAAGACTAACAAAACCTTAACCCACAATAAGAGGATGAGTTGATTAGATACATAGAAAGGTGTACAAGGGATGGTGTACCACCTACACAAAGTATTTTGAAAAATTTCGGCAGCGTGGTTGCGCAGCAAGAGGTCTCCAAAAGCTGGATTACCTGGTTTTAACACCGCCATCCTGACAAGCTCATCACCAAATATGACACTAGTATGGATTGTAGGCGTCACCTGGCTAACAACAAGCATAAATACAAGTTGTACTTTAACTTGCTGCACTCTAAGATGCAAGAACATGGCATTGACAAGCGCAACATGTACAATATGGATGAGAAAGGCTTCTACGTTGGCATCGCCCACCGCACCAAAAGGATCTTCTCTAAGGCAGTTTATGAGTTAAAAGAGCGTACAGCAGCAATAAGAGATGGCAACAGAGAATGGGTAACGCTGCTGGCTTGCGTATGCGCTTCTGGAGATGCATTACCGCCCGCTCTCATCTACCAGGGCACCTCTAGGGTTTAATTAAGCTAGGTTGACAATCTTTTAGCTAAACAACACCAAATTTTCGTATCCCACTTAGCTTCAGGATGGTTAAATAACGCCTTGGGACTTGCCTGGCTTCAACAGGTGTTCGAACGCTATACTGCAGCCAAAGCTTACCAGCAATGGCGCCTTCTGATACTTGACAGCCACGCCAGCCACCTCACGCTAGATTTTTTGGAGTATTGTGAAGCCAAACGCATCATGGTTATAGTGTATCCTCCCTATTCAACCCACAGCTTGCAGCCGTTAGATGTTGTGCTCTTTGCGCCGCTTTCAAAGCACTACACTGAGGAGCTTACCCAACGCCTCCAGCGAACCCAAGGCCTCTCAAGGATCACTAAACGCGACTTCTATAGCAACTTTTGGCCAGCTTAGAGCTCTACAATGACTCACGATCTTATATTGAAGAGTTTCCAAGCTACAGGCGTATGGCTGATGGACGCAGACCCAGTACTTCAACGCTTCAACAATGGCCCACAACAACAAGATGACGAGCCAGGAATTGGGGAGCAAGGCGACGGCGATACCTGGCCTCAATTGCGCAAAATTTTTGATGCTGCAGTGGCTGACAAGGCCAAATTTGAAGCCAAACGGCTGTCCCAAGGCCTGCACTCGCTGCAGGTCAACAACAAGCTTCTACAACTCCAGAACGCGGAGCTACGCGCTGAAATCAACCTCATTAAGAAGCGCCTGACCAAGTCTACAACACTAACTACACAAGAAGGCGACGATTGGCACGGCGGTGCTGTATTCTACAGTCCCAGGAAGCTTGCCAGCGCGCGCGCGCGCAAGGCCGCAGAACTGGACGAAGCCGCGGAGCTACAACTCAAAAAAACTCGCGATAGAGAGGCAAGAGCAGCAGAAGCAGCTCACAAAAAGCAGAATCAAGAAGCTGCGAAGGTGGCTCAACAACAAGCCAGAATTAAGCGTGATCGCGAGCAGAAACAGCGCGCTGAGGAACGCGCTGCAGAACGGGCGCTTAAAAAGCAACAACAACAAGCTGCAACCACTTAAAAAAGCCACAATACAGCAAATAAGCGTAAGCGAAAAGCCTCACACAAAGCAGCAGAAAATCTAGCAAAGTGTTGTTGTGGTGCGGCTGCATTAAGTTGGGTTAACGCTGGTCCGCCTGAGGCGTCTCCCCCACCTAAATTTGGCAGAAACGGCTGCCAACTCAAGACGCCAGCGAGATTAAAGCAGTGCAAATGATCTAGAAGCTTCTTTATAGCAATACCTCAAAAAATCTCACAAAAATAGCTATTGTGTGTGGCTCAATAACCTCATCTTTTTGATCGTCCCATATTGGTGGGGTGGCTCGTTGACTGAACTGGCTCGTTGACTGCGCACGGACTGTACAGCTACAATCGCGGCAAACAGAAACAGGGAGAACATGCTCGCGAGTGCTTCTAGAACTCAAAATTTGTGAAAGCTTTGTCGTAGTCCCAACCAGGCTTCCTGATACTGCGTCCCCAGATTCTTGGTTATAAAGATGCGATCGTAGGATATTGACGGTGCGTAATCTTGAGCAGTCACGATGAGACTTCTGACCCACTATCACAACCAACCAGCCTGTCTTCGGACCAAAGTGCTTTTTCGTAGCAATATTTCGATAGAGAAGCTAAAAGAAAGGTACCCGAGTACCAGCCACATAATTTCCGAGGGGAAGAGGTCGAACTCAGCGCTTACGATCGGGAGTGGACCAGGACAAAGCCTGCTCTATACCAGCTGTACCTATGAAACTATGGACAACAAGACTGACATATAACTCCCCAGTCATCAAGACATCGGGATAGTAAGTATCTTCATGCATGCCGAGCAAGTCAGCAGCACACCATTTAGGCTGTGAAGGCTGGGTAGTCAGCCACATTCACTGTATGCTCACTCGGAGTCGCCAGATGATCCGGCTTGGTGCAATTGGACCAGTAACGATCCGTTGGACATGTGAATCGTATGGCGAATAAAGCTCGCAATCTTTGCTAGGATCGCCACAAAGTTTTGGACCCCACGCGGCCCGCTACAGCTCGTTGCCATACCTTGAAGCCGCACATAGTTCGGGATGCAGCAAGACCTCCCATCAGCGAAAGTTATAGCGATCGAGCCTTGTCGCCCCGGTATAAAAGGAGGCTTTGTTCAACTTGAAGAGCAGTGAAAGCCGCGGAGTGGTGTGTAGAAGCAACGGGTTGTAAGGTTGGACATTTTGCGAGGCGCGAGCTAGCTCGAATTGGGGACAGCCCAACGCATCTCCTCGCAAGCACAAGGACCTTGGGAGGTAATGCTACAACAACGTCACGACATAGCAGTGAAAACTCAGGAGAACGAGAACCAGATATAGGCTCAGACTTCTCATTCTGAGATGTCGCTGTTCATAAATGATTCAGCGATATCGGATAATGCACTCAGGTATCTTCGATCACCAGGCTGAGCCTAACATTCGATATTCAATGATCTACTTCGTCCGTGACTTTTCTTTCAGCGACAATTATGGAACGGGCGTATGTTCTTACAATGAAGAACGGATAAGCGATGTTGTCTGATATTTGCTTGGAAGTTACGCGTTCCCTCACCCCCTTCATCGAGATCCCGCAGCTACGCCTGCTGCCCAGCTTCTGGGCCAACAAGATACTAATGAACGACCCGACCAACCAGATGTAAAGATTTGAGACATGTCTTCTTTTGCAAGTACTCGTATATGCTGGCTATTGTCCATTATAGCATGTTCGATCATTTTCACAGACTTCCCGGATTCCACCCATCAACTGCGAACAACCCGCACTGTCCAGTCCTACTGATGTCATTGTTACTAAGTGTTGACCTATAATGGGCCTCCTTCTTAAGTAATGGATTGCGGTCGCACCAGCTGCGCTGTCTGTCGTCAACTTGCATCGTACTTACACTCTCGTGAAGCAGCCGGCATACGTTTACGTGATGTCATCAAGGCATTTCGAGTCCTCCGAGATTCCGAGAGCTTTCCTTACATTCTGATTGCCAAATCATGCCTAGATCCCGCTCCACCCCTCTGATGCCAAACGCTAAGTCTCAACAGCGTCAAGTGCAGCCATCACGGTACCCACGAGTCTCCACCCGGACCAGAGAGACAGGATTTGCAAAAGAAGAAGCTTGAGAATGCTTAGTTTGACTCTAATAGAGTATATCTTCATCTGCAAAGAGCACCATGGTATATGGAAGCTGTTTCTCAAGCTCCACTGCTGGTAGCAAATCCCATGCAACTCGTATATAATACACTGCAATCTTCAACATTGCCTCCAGTCGCTTAAAAATTCTGCACTAGACACATAGAAGCAGCTGTCTGTAAAGACGTAGTCGAAGCTGTATGGTAGAGAGAGCAATAGGTGACAATTGCATCTTGCGCAGAAATGGTGTTCAATCACATGTATTACTTTTCATATAGCTACAACATCATCTGATCATGGTATCATCGCTAATAACAAAAGAACTACAACTCATCGTGTCCAGCGCCGCAAGGCTGGCCATGGTGGTCATGTCCGCCCTTATCAAAGCGCGCCGCAAACCGCGCCTTGCCAGCATCCCTCTTCCTCAACGTAGCGTTAGGCCTCGGAATACCATCCCAGCTCATTGAATACTTGGCCACTGAGTTTGCGATACTCTGGGTGTTGAGTAGGTACGCGTCATGGTTCAAGTTGTTAATGTCATCGCACTTCTGGTGGTAACAAGCATCGAGCGCAACACCCGCCTCGCCACCAAACATCTGCGCCTCCTCCTCCGTCTTCAGGACCTCAGCGCCGGTGAATAGGCCGCCGGAGGGGATGCCATTCTCAAGGAAGGCGGCATAATCGGAGCGCAGAGTGAACAAACTCGGGACATGAGCCTCACCGTTCGCCTCGTAGAACTTCTCGAAGTCCTTCTCGATGGTGTCAGAACCCGCGGGGCCGGAGAAGTTAAAGGCACTGCCATCGCCGTCGTAGATGCCGTAGACGTAGTTCGGCGACGCGATCATGTCGAAGTTGAGGTATGCGCGGATCTTGCTGACCTCTTCTGGACCTCCGGAGATAGAGCCGTTCAGTGTCTTGAGGTAGTGGAAAGAGCCCAGCTTACCGAACTCTTCTGCGCCCCAGAATCCGAGACGCACGGCGTTCTTGACTTTGTACTTTGCGAGCGCCTCGGCGACAACGAGAACGCCGATTGTGCCGGAGCCGTCGTCGTTGATTCCGGGACCGGCGTACACGGAATCGGTGTGTCCACCGATCATAAGGATGTTGCTCTTATCTCCACCCTTGGTCTCGGCAATCACATTGTAGTTGGTGCGGTTCTCGCGGATTGTGTCGATGAAAAGGGTCGCGGGTACAGCGGTGCTGTTGCCCACCTTGGCAAGGAGTTCGTTACCGATCTCCTGCGTAACACCAACCACAGGCGTGTAGTCGCCGTCTCCACCGAGAGTTCCGGCGAGAGGCTGAGCTGGAACGTTGTTGTAGATGATAGCACCGGAGGCGCCGGCAGTCTTCGCGTTGGCGGCTTTGAGGGCGAAGGTGCATGTTCCACGCGAGATAAGCGCCAAGTTGCCAGAGACGCCGGCGGGGTAATCAGCAGCATCGCAGCCTAGGTTGTTAACTTTGACGAGGTTACCGCCGACGTTGTTGGCGGCAGGGCCGTAGGTGAGGTAGTCGGCCTGTGTGTCGGCGCCGGCAACTGTGAGCTTGACGGTCGCGGCAGTGAAGAGCTCAACGAAGGGCTGCTTGTAAACCTCCCAGTAGTCATCGCCGTACTTTTTCAAGCTGTCGTAGAGCCATTCAGTGGTGCTGGGGTTTGTTAGCTGAGATATCTGCTAATATATTGTTATGTGACTTACGCGTTGTGACCGCCGCCGCCGAATGCTCGGTTTCCACCGTATTTGTCGGCCATCCTCTGGAGCTTCTCAGAACCCTTGATCAGATTCTTGAGCTTGACATCCTTGATCAAGTCCTTCTGGTTGACAAATTTGTTAGGCTTTGCAGCGCTGACAGAAGAGACCAGGCCGGCACCGGCAATGAGCAAATCGAACCTCATCTTGACAATTGCAAAGCTTAAACGAGGAAAGAGCTGCTCATCCTAACCAGAGAACATAGCATCATATATACTCCTCGCACTCGGCCCAAGCAACTCGTCGCCCTCTCAATTGATGCACATCGCCCTCTAACCCATACAGGCAGCTGCTATCCAATTCCCAACGATCTGTCCCTCAGGAACGAGACGCAGCGGCCAGTGACCAGGTGATAGGTACTTGAAGTCTTGGCTGCGTGATGACATGTGGCCTACTGTGATACATGGGGAAGGAGATGAACGTAATTTATGGGCGGAGACTTCTAGCTCATAGCGGACCGTTATCGGGTGGACCCTGATTGGGAAGGAAGATAATGAGCCAAGAGGAACATCCCCGCTCTTGTGCTTGCAAAAGGGCTTGGCTCTTGAGCGCCACAATCTGCGCAGACGAGGCACGAGCCTTTGTCGGGATTTGACGCCATTAGGGGTATGGAGGGATCGTTACCGAGGTGAGTGGCGGCGGTGCAGGCGGGTTGGAGAAGCTTGACGGAAGGTTGTGAGGAACGCGGCACTTCAGGGGTGGGCGATTGGCTGGGCGCGGCGACACCGACGACTGCAGATCGAGATGACATGTCTGGGGAGGTCTCACAGGCAACGAGGAGGCAAGCAATGTTGGAAATACAACGGCAGAGCAAAGGACAATATGTGTGGAGAGGCCAATTGAATCGCACATGAATTCCATCTTATCAATTACGGTACAACACGAGCTTACATCTCATACACACAATTTCTGTCGTGCTATCTCTACGCGGTAGCACCGGTCTGCATCTTCAGAATGAAAGCGCCTCGCTCCATTGTGTTGACGAGGATGTAGCCGCTCTTAAAGAGCGCATAGCTGGACCATGTGCCAACGAAATCGACCGATCCGCCACCAGTCGCATTGTCATCCTCGGGGTACACATCGAAGAAACCAACCTCTGTTTATCACGTCAGTAGAGCTTTGAGATCGCGTACGTGCATGAATACATACCAGTCACACCCTTCCCAGTAGGATCGCTGGGAATCGAGCGCACATCAAGAACGCGGAAGCCAGTGCCGTAGTTGGACTGGTATGCAAAGCCGTTTGCAACATACTGGTTATGGTCAACACCCTTGGCGCCAGACTTGTAGTATCCGGTCTGCTTGGGGGCCTTCAAGCTCGAAATGTCCCAGATGTAGGTGATGGGGTTGCCGGGCGCAGCAGGTCCGACTTTGTCGTACTCATCGTACTCGTCGTCGAGCAACAGGTAGCGCTGATCCTTGGGGTCAAGGACGACACCCTGGTGGGTATAGGCAGCGCCAGTGTAGGAGGTGATGGACAGGATAACGGGTGCCTTCTTGTTAGTGACATCGTAGATAGTCAGGGTGTCCTCGTTGAAGCCATAGCAGATCTCCTTGCCCTCGTAGGCAGTGTCAGGGCCGTGATAGATCAAGCACTGAGCATCGTGGACGTAGCCATCAGTAGAAGCGCAGCCGGGCGACGTTGGGTTTTTGACATCGCTGATGTCAATGAAGATGATACCAGACTTGCACTTATCGGTCCTAGGCATAGCACCAACAGAGTAGATGAAGCTGGTCTCAGGATTGGTAACAACGTTGTGAGTACGACCAGTAGGGAGGCCATTGTAGTGACCAGCAAGATCAGCAGAGTTGCTGAAGGTCTTGGGTGCTGAAGGGCTGAGGGTGAGCAACTTCTTCATGTCGAAGATCTGGATGCCGTGGTTGACGGCCTCAGATCCAATTATCATGTAGTCATTTTGACCACGGATCTCGCGCCATTGGCTGCGAGTGGAGTACTGGGGAAGACGCCCGAGGTAGGAGAGCTTGCCTTCCTTGGTGACCTCAGCAAAAGCTGTGCCATCTGATTGACCGATAGCCACAAATTCGCGGCCGGTGCTCGATGTCCAGCCCCAAGAAGAAGACCCAAAGCCGTAGGTACTGCCAAGAGCCGAGTGAGACAAAAAGTGGTACAAGTCGATGTTCTTGCATTTGAAGGTATCTGTTGATGTCTTTGCAGTACCGTTGGCACAGTCGGCGATGGACGCAAGCTCTGCATACTGGGCCGATTCGTAGACGCCTGCAGCTTCTTGGTTTGCCCACGTTTCCTGTAAAGTTGTTAGCGCCGGGCACATACACATCTTGAGACCATGCTGACCAGCTTCAAAGCCTTGTTGTTCTCGTGGCGAATGCCAGAGTCGAAGAGCTCTGCAGCCCTGAGCTCATCTTTTGGCATCTCCTTTGCCGCTGCAAGAGCGGCGAGCGAGAGGAGGGCAGCTCGGCGAAACATGATGACTGGATCTGCTTGAGGCTGAACGAGTGTGCCGTACAGAGCTCTTCAACCGCAGCTGATCACCGCTTTATACATTCTCCACAGGCCATGTAGGTGCTGAATACGACATGACCCATGAAGCATCGCCTATGGCGAACTCGGCAGGTAGCAAACGTACCTGCCTCTTCCTGTCCTCAACGTGCATGGTCGCCCCAGCGCTGGTACAAGCACGAGATCACAACCGGCAACTGAGTGTGAGCCCAAGGAACTCGTAGATGAAGCGACAATCCACATCCAGCACTGCATTGGTGGCTGGAAATGAAAAAAAAGCTTGGGAGTGGAAGTGCCGACCGAATAGGAAGGAGTGATTCGTTAAGCTCTACTTGGCAGCGTAGCGAACAAACACTGCGGGAGTGCCGAGGTGCAGATCGTTTCGGTGTAACAATGATAGGGCAGACGTAGCTATGGAGGACGTGCTGTCGCAGCGATGGCGCAGGTCTCCACACGGTACTGTGTGCGCCTTTGACCGTCGTCCAACGGATACAATACCATTAGAACTAGCTGCAGGACGTCTGAGGCTGCTCGTGGCTGTACCTGCAGGTGTGTCTGAGATATCTTATGTGGAATTGTTTGCCCATTGGCCTCGTCGCAAGGATCGCAGTCGTGTTGCAGCACTCGCCAGCCTGTCGTACAGACGCCCACTCTAGCCAGCTCTTCCTATTGTGTCGGCGCGCCGAAATAGGCTTCTTCTAGAAGGGGAAGTTTTTTCAAATGCATTCGTGAATGTGGAGTAGATCAGGCTCATTTGCCATAACACGGTGTGGTGGGTGGGATGAAGTACGCTGAGTGCTGCGGGAGCCACTGTGGAGGCGGCCGGAGAGCGCGTTCAGCGCAGGACAAACTTTGTCATGCTGCCAGTAGTAGTGCGCATCACCAATGGGCTCAACGTGGCTTAAGATTCATGGGAGGAAGTGCTAAAGGTGGTTTACTGCAGACCTGGGGCACGGCGACATCTTACGGTATAGGTCTGCGGGGTGTTACTCAGCAAATTGCGCAAATTCGCGCGCCCATCATTCCTTCTTTGAAGCACAGCACGCACAACAGAAAAGAAAGGACTGACAGTGGGCACAGGCAGCACTCACGTTGTGCTGACTGTAATATCTGAACGTAACTTCTCCTTCGATCGATCATCACGATGGTTCCTGATATACCGAACGCATCGAAAACCGGCCGTGAGACATGGAAATCTAAGCGTTGCGTTACGGGTTAACAGTGGAGCCATTCCTGAATATCTCTAGTACGGCTCCGCAGTGACGTTTCCAATCACCGAAACATCACAAGCAAGAGGGACAAATCTTTGTACGTTGGATCGAGGCCCATAAGGAATACTCTTTTCGATCTAGGACCACCTGGTCGTTCATGCCATGTTTTCGTCATCCGTATCTCGTGGCTCTTGAAGAGCGTGTAGCTTCAGAACGCCTGCGGCTTCAGCAAGCTAGGAGCATCGTCTTGATGCAATGGGGTATCTACAACTTCGCCTCGACCTTCTTGAGGCACTCCTGGAACTCGCTCCAGTCGTACATGACGGCGATGCACTTGGTCTCCTCGGTGAGGAGCTTGGCCATCTGCTCCATCTTCTCCTTACCCTCTTCAATGCCGTAGATACCAACGTAGGCAATGCACGGAATGCCGGCGCGCATGGCAGCAGTAGCACCGCTCTTGCTGTCCTCAACGGTGACGGCCTCTGACTCCTTGACGCCAAGCTGCTTGGCAGCGTAATGGTAGATGGCGGGGTCAGGCTTCGAACTGGGAGGGTTGAGAGAGGTGGCAGCAGAGTAGACGTGCTCGGGAGGGAAGAAGTGGGCAATGCCAGCCTTCTCGATCGAGGCAACGACACGGCTCTTGGCAGAGGTGCTGACGACGGACAGAGGGTAGCCCTGATCCTTTAGCTTCTGCAGCTCCTTGGTGACACCAGGGCACTCGACGGCCTTCTCGCTGAGCTTCTTGGTGACAGCGCCGAGTTCCCGAGAGACAAAGTCCTCGAGGTCGTCGTCGCTCATGGTGAAGCCATGCTCCTTCTGCAGGCCCTTGAGCATACTACGAAAGTTGTGGCCGACATAGTCTTCGAGGAGCTTGGGGCCGGTGTAGTGAGGTGCGCCCTTGACGTCGTACTTCTTCATCACCTCGTTGGTGAGATCGGCGCAAGCTTCGAAGGCAAGGTGCTCGGACTGAACGAGCGTGTTGTCGCAGTCGAGCATGATGTACTTGACCTGTAACCCGTGTTAGCGTAGAGCGGGGCAGCTGCTGCATTTGAGGCTTACCTTGCCCATGATTGCGATTAGGTGAGTTTGTTTGGTTCGAAATGTCAATTGACGTTCGACAGGTGCAGATGTGGTAGACGGGAACTTAAAGGGCTGAAAAGCAAGGGTCGGGAACGAGGAACGAGGACTGGGTTCTGTTGAGTAAATAAAGCCTTGTGGGGAAAGTCAGGTTGCAGGGAAGGCGTGAGGTGGGGGGAAGTGCGCCTGTAGATGACGTCGCACGTGGGACTCTCATTGGGCGGTCGGCCAGCGGACCGCAGCGCTCTCACCTGGGGGCGCTCTCACCACTTTCACCTGCAAGCTTTACCCGCTGCACTCAGTTCAACACTGTGATTTTATCTCCCCAAGCAATTGCGGTTGGCTCCATGCCCAGGTGCCCAGCCTCTTCTCACAAACACAACACTTCAAGGCCTTATTGATAAAGATTTTGTGCGTGTCCTACAAAGCCTGCTGGTTGCGACACAGTCACGAAGGTTGTTCTTGCATCGACGGCATATCTGAGCAGTCGGTGTGCAAAAGCATCGTTCCTGCAGAGTTCGTGACCGGCTTGCATCTTGCATTGAGAAAAGCCAATGGCGCAGCCAAGTCGTTTTCGCGACATTGTAGCACAAAGCTGACCACGTGCGATATTTGTGCACCAATGCCTGCACTCGTTGTTTTGGCAGAGTTTTGAGCTTTGGTGTGCTACTTTGCGGCTCGCTCTGAAGATTGTCCTTGCCAAATGTCTCAGACTTGCACATCTTCTTCTTGTGCTCTGCAAGGGGAGAGGGCATCTCGCATGATTTGAGCTGCCAGGCGCTCCTGGAAGCCTGAACTTTGTATGCACGGAAGCTGCAGATCGTATTTATGGAAGCGGTTTTCACCGCCATCAATCGCAGTGTGGCCATCTCATAACATATATATCCGCGTTTGGGACAAGGTCGCGCAGACTTGGTGCAGTGGACCAATTCGCCGGGTCGAGAACGTGGGCCTAACGTACATCAGCAAGTATCTTGGCTTGTAACGCGTGACCTTGGGCCTGTACCTTCGCTGCGTCGGTGAGCGTATCGTGCCCCGTCACAAAATTCTCGCACAAAGCTTCCTCAAAGGTATGAGGCCACTCGCAGCGGGCGTATGGCTGCTGGGATGATGGCGAGTCCAATAGATTGATCTCTGTTGTGGTATGTAAACTGTACTTTGCGAGGTCGCTGTAAGCCGCAAATTTTTCATATCAAGCACGGTAGGAAGGAATGTGCTTTGTGTTCGAGCGTTTGGCCTGCATACAGTCTTGCTCGTCTTCAGGGAACCATTTGACGTCTGTGGTCGCGTCATTGCTGAATCGACTTGTGTCAGCGAATACCCGGGACTACAGACATCCCGTACCCTTCACAATTGGGCTGGGGAGTACTTTTAGCGGAATCTACCTGCGAAGGTTGCACGATGTCCTCCACTCGATCCCCGAGCCTCAAGCGAGCGAGAACAGTTGACGCTCCTATATCACAGCCAGTGCAAGGCATATCAACAAGACTCTCAAGATTCGCCGTGCGGATGGTGACTTGTCGATTCTTCATGACTTTGAACCTCTCTGCTCGCGTGGCCTCACCAACATCGTACTGACAGTCGACCGCTAGCATTTAACATCAGGAGTACGTGGGCCTTGTACTGTCGCACTGACTTTCATGAGTATTCTGCATATGCTTGTTCATCGCAATGTGAAATTACCCTCGTCTTCTTTTCCCCGCATGAGAAACATGTCACATCATTGGTCGTGCGGCGTTCCAGCCGTCCGCGATGGAGAACTCGTCGTAAGTCGTCTGTAGCCGGTGCAAGCGGTCTGTAGTGCTTGAGACCATCTCGTATCTCTGTACTCTGGCTATTCATGACCCTGCCATGGCGCCGAAGAGACGAGAAGCTTCTGAGGTCGAGTATGACGTCATTTCCTCTTTTCTTCATGGTGAAAAAAGCCGGGACCGATCACATTTTGTCAAAGCAGGCGTCGAACCCGTAAATTTTGCTGGAGGGCGATTGACTCTGATGCTCAGACGGCCTATTTCGCTACTCGTGAACGTTGGTATCCGTGGTAGATTATGCCCGACATTTCGTATCGACGGATTGTGCGATCCTTCCGCGTGGCCGTGCCACCTAACCGCGCGTTCACGAGCGTTGTTTGGGGTCGACACCTGAATTCTCAAGCCAGAAATCGGAAGCTCACGAGTTAATGTAAACCAACCATGAGGCACTGAGACCCTTGCTCCAATACAGATGATATCCATCAGTCGCAGATCGCGCTCAAGGGACACGCTTGAGGAAATGTCGATCTACTATCTGTTCCACCCTTCGAAGCATGATAGTCTTTAACCATTTTGCTCAGTGCAGATTTCTTCGGATCTTCGCTCATGCGGATGATTGGAAGTGGCCACGATGTAACGGCGTCGTGATCCGAGGGTGGCATGTCCGTTTCTTCTGGTGGTTTTGCGTAGGTCAACAGTAGCTGAAGATCTTCTGGTCGCATTTGACTTTGGAGTCCGTAGTACGCCAGGTTACAGACACAGTAATTCCTTGCTTGAGCCCGAAGTCCGGTTGCACAAAGTATCAGTGTGGACCGAAGTATCTCTTTGACGGGTAGCCGTTGATGAAGAGCAGCTGGGTGGTCGGCGCCTAGGTCCGCTATGCTGGCGCCTAGCCGTTCAATAATGAAGTTGACCAGCATGGGATCGAAGTTGTCAAAGCTATGGCGGAGAAAGTACGACCGTAAGAGCGTTTCTTTAGACCGGTTCGCGTTTAGAACTTTCATAGCAGGCGATTCAATCGATGCCCCGGTCGGTGATTCTCTTGTCAAAGCGTTGTATTCCATGTCCTCAGATACACCAGGAAGTAGAAGGTCTGTGATGACGCTGAGATATTCCAGACTGCAGTAGCAAAGTCAGGGGACATTCAGAGCAAGCGCTGAGGAGGATCCCAGCAACACTAGGTAGCGACTTACTGAGTGCCTATATCCTTAGGAAACACGACGCGAGAAGAGTTCAAGTGTTCTGGCAAGGTTTCAAACCAGGTATTGAGTTTGGAGCAGAACACGTTGGTTTCTGCAGGGGTCAGCCACGCACCGCGCTCGAGATTTGTGTCATCGAATGCTCGCTGGGAGATGGCGCTCTTGATGCTGCGGAGTTGGCATTTTGTTCTAAACGAATGATTCAACCGCATTGGAATCAATTTTTCGTTTGGAGGATACTGCAAATAGATTTCCCCATACCACTGAGGATTCTCGGGAAGTGGTTCGGCGGGCGGCTCTAAAATTCTCGGACTTTGATGAAAATAATAGCTGATCATTGAATGCCAGGCGTACAGCGACCATGCAGTCCATATGCGCGCCTTGCGCATCTGTTCGTTAATACCTTCTGGGATTGATCTGAACAGATCAAGATCGCAAGCCATGTTCAGACCTTGATTAGTGTATGTCCGTCCAAGAGCATTGATGCCATTGAAGTCCATAATGACGCTCAGAATCTGCGATGCCTGTATTGTCGTGAGGCACCTGCGGCCGCTTGCATTCTCGACATCCCAAAGTCGTTTCGCTTCTGCTGTGAACTTGTAGGTCAAGTTGTCCGGTATCCAGTACTTGGCGCGATCATGAAGACTCGAGGAGCTGTAGCAGGCGTTGGCAAGGACTGCGTTCACCAAGAGCGGCGAGCAGAATTGTGTTCGGTTCGCCACCATATCTGACAAGAACAAATCTTTGTGAAATGGAAACCATTCCGCGTAAGCATGTTGAAAAAATGATCGCAATAGCTGTCTCAGTAACTCGTCACTGGAGATGATAGTGGTCCACGTCGATATTGTGACCTTGTCGACCAAGGCGTCGAAAACTACTGCAGCATGGTACGGCTTCGTGTAACAGGAGCTTATCCCAGGGTCTTGTAGATTGAGTTGCGCATAGAACGTGGAGGGAGGTTTATAGGGATTTTCTGGTGTCAGGAGGAAGGCTGGCATCTCTGTGATGTACGGTAGATCATATCGCCGGCGGGTTTCGGGCACAAGCGAAAGTTGCATTAGCAAATTGCCATCCTTGACTTGTCTCACAACAGCCTCAGGATCGGCACCAGCTCGAAGACGAAGGAGAATGTTGATGGCATCATTGTCTGACGAGCTCTTCATGAGTTGTAGTAGCTCATGAGAGACTTCCGCCCTTTTTTTCTCCTGCATTGCTTAGCGCGATGTTTGCCACAACTTCTGTGCATTCTAACCTGTCGAGATTCGGTCAGGCGATAATCGCATGCGGTCTCTCGCGGCACACAAGCCTGACATTTGGGACGGGCTCCATCGCACTGACTCTCTCGTTAGCTCTTGCCAGCAAAGTGACTGATGCAATTGCCTTCTCACCTTTGTCTTGCGTGCTCGGCACTCCCCGCACGCGGAGCTCCGCTTGGTAAGTTTTACTCGACATGTTTCTTCATTTTTACGATAATGGGGCGGTTTTGGGAAAATCGGTCGCTGAGGCCGAAGAGTCTGCTTGGACAGATCCATCAGGTCAATAGAAGTGGAGGGAGGAGGCCATCGAAACGAGGCAGATCGTGGCAGACAGCTGACTGACCTGCGTCTGATTGGACGCTTCACCTCATAGGATCAAGCTCGGCCATATACTTTCCGGCCACATATAGTTTCCGGCCACCCCACCCAAAGCAGCCACACAGTATAGAGTCGTGATTTTCTTAACAACAACGATTATATTTGCCACTGTGTACACATAGAATTGAGAGTACGAGCTACTGCAGCAGCTGCAGCCTTTTCTGCTTCTTTTTCTGCTGAAGTGCTTGCCTGTTGAGCCTGTAGATCTGCTGCTCGGTCGATAGCAGCCTGTATACTCTCAACGTTGCTGAATCGCTCATTTGGATTAACTTGAACTCGCTTTCTAGTACGAGTAATCTTATAGTGATCTAGTTGATATTTAAGTTGTTGATTCTCTCAGCCTTGAGCTGGGCAGCTCTGGTATTTGCCTTCGCAATAGCCTTGCCTGCCTTGCCAAGCACTATCCGGGTGCTTCGTGAGAGAGATTCTGACAACAGCAGCTGCTGCTGGGCCTTGTATAGAGCTTGTGAGCTCTGAGGGGTGTTGAAGACTTGTTCTGATGTAGTCAAGGCCTGACTAGCTGCTAGTGGAGTAACTGGCTGGCCAGTTACTTGGGACGAGAGCAGTACTAGATTTGGGTTGAATGGGCAAAGGCCAGCAGCGCGCCAGCCTGCACTTATAACTCGCTCTGATAAAGCTTCTTCTCTTGCCTTGTTATATGATACGATAAAGCGCTCCTTCTTGATAGGTGCTGCGTCATCAAGGACAGAGAGAGCTCGGATCTCATTGCGATAGCGTGTTTTAAGAACAGAGAAAGGAGCAAGATCTAGAGGCTGCAGCAGGTGTGTTGCATGAGCTGGGAGATACAGGAGGTGTATCTTGTTAAGCTTGCAGAGCCACATAAATTCGATAGGTGTATGGGGGCCATGGCCATCAAGAAGGAGCAGTTGATAGCCACCAGAGGATGGTGAAGTATTTGGTATAAAAATACGCTGTAACTATTCACAGCCAATTGAGTTGGACGTCCAGCCATTCTCTGACGTGGTATAGAGCCAATTTAGGGTGCCTTGGGTTGGGAACTAAGTAGATCGTAGATGCTTGCCTTTGAAGATAACTGGGCATTGAAGCTTAATGCTGGTGGCTGAGATTGTCTCCAAAATTGATACTCACTCGCGATCCTCTGGAGACTTAATATAAGCCTTCTTCTTTATAGAGCTTGCGAGCACCTGGGCATTAGTACATACCCCTAGTGCAACTCTAGTGTCGTCCATATTCCACATATCTTCATACTGTATTCCTAGCTCAATTCTTGTCCGCTCAAACAGCTCAAGGAAGGCCTTAATAGTATTGTAGCTAGCTGCTGTAGTCCGTGCGCTCTCAATTGTTCGGCCAACAACAGATGCGACACGTGGGTTGCGGGCAATGAAATGGGATATCCATAGTCGCCTGAGAGGCTCGTAGTCGCCGTTCATGTGTAGGATGCGGGCTGCCATCTCTCATACGCGAGGATGAGATGGAGGTTGTGCGCGTGAGTCCTCTTCAAGTATCCAATTAACTAGGAAGGCCTCTTGTTCTGGAGTTAATCGCTGTTGATTTGAGTGAGCTATCGCGTGTGGTTGTTGACCTGCCCGTCGGCCTTGCAACGTTGATCGCGCAACGCCGTGCCAACGAGCGGCTGCTCGCTCGCTCTTAAGAACACCAGAATTAAGGTCTACAATAGCATTTTTTATTGCAAGCTCCTTAGGGTCCATACAGAGAGCGTGGTGGTGATAATATAGTTGATTAAAGCAGGGTGACGCGTTGTGGTGGGGTGGCCGGAAAGTATATGTGGCCGGAAAGTATACGGCCGAGCTTATGTGGCGACGTACCTAGCCATCCTCGAGAAAACGTTTCAGCTGCATGGTGACACCCCTTGCGCTAAATCTTTTAGGTGGCAAAGTTTGGTAGAGACAGCACAGCATGCAACACCTTCGATATGAACTACAGAGCTACTAAATCGTTGAAACTTTATAGACTCTATATGGAAGCACTATTTATGCAGATTAATTCTGTAGCGGGGTAAGGTATCGTGGCAGCTCACGAGTTTTGGTGTTCGGCGAGCTGGATCGTGTTGCGCCTAGCCAGCCGTTCGGAATATTCGCCAGCCTACGAAGGAGCTCGTTTTTAGTCATGCACCGCACTGGCCACCCCCACCAAAATCAATGCGTAAACACCAAAACACCATACTTTGCACCGCAATAACTTTCCCAAAACTCAATATATTTTTACAAACAATGTACGAGGCAACGCGCAGAAAGCTAATAAAGAAGAAGGGGCGCGCTACTACTATAAAAAAGACGTCGCGTTGTGAGTTAACTGCAATTGAGCGCGCGTTTATTGCGGGCGCGTGCATCGCAGGCAGTCTATCACACAACGATTGCGCCAACCTCTTCCCCCCCGGCGTCGCCAGCAAGTCCACGATTACTAGAACTGTACAGCGAGTTAACAAGCGGACAACTGAACTAAACACTACAATTATCGACCCTTGCTGCTACGAATTCGCGTCTACTAGAGGCGCGCCGCGACTGCTTGACGATGAGCAACGCGCTCGCGTTGTGGAGCTCACTATTGCGTCGCAGGAGAGCCGGGAGAAGGAGAGCTGGCAGGCCATCAAGGATGGAGACTTTGTGAACGCTGGCCTGCCAAATTTCAGTGTATCGCTTCACGAAAATATCATGTACAATGCTGGTTACGCGCGCCAGCGACCAGGCTGGAAGCCACCTCTCAACGACGAGCAGAAGCGCGAGCGTTTGGAGTGGGCGCTTGCCCACAACCCTGATAAATACGAGTATAGAGATAGTAAAGGATTTAATTTTACTGAGGTTGTGTTTACTGACGAGACTCCAGCTCGCATTGGTGAGGAGCGCGGCATGCAGAGGGTATAGTGTAGGGATAGCGAGCAGTACAATAAAGGAGTTAAAAAGGATCGCAACTACTGCGCTTGTTGCCTACAATTCTACAGAGCCTTTTGTTATAACTATAAGGGCCCTTGCTATAACGTACTCTATCACCGAGCTGGTCATATCACCAAACCGGTCACTTAAAATCCCACCAAAAAACACAGAAACCATACCCCTGCATCTTAATAACTACTTAATAGAATCTTCTAAAAACTTCAGAATAGAGCTGCATCTATACTAATAAGACTGTTTGAAAGTCTTAGAGTGCTTAGCCCTATATTGCAGATGTTATTTAGAAGATACTGAAATACAGGGGTAGCTGCAGGCTATCTTAACATCTATACTAGCTATTAGTCTAAGACTTTTAAATAGTTTTATTAGTATAGATGCAGCTCTATTCTAAAGTTTTTAGAAGATTCCATTAAGTAGTTATTAAGATGCAGGGGTATGGTTTCTGTGTTTTTTGGTGGGATTTTAAGTGACCGGTTTGGTGATATGACCGGCTCGGTGATAGAGTACGTTACCTATTTTAAAGAGACAGCAGCACAAAAACAGTCAGCAGAGGAGGCGTTAGCAAAGGAGAATGCACAGCGCAAGCACAACAACAACACACTCTAGGGCAACGCGCGTAAGGCACTTGCAGTAATGCAAGAGAGTAATGTTAATTACTATTACAACACTAGAAAGAAGCAATATGTACCCTCTCAGCATAACTATAAGTGTGGGGGGCGTGATAATAGGGGTGTTGATGGGTACAGGCATCGCAAGGGTGCACTTAAGAGCATTACCCTATAGATTAATTTACTTAAAAGGAAGGGATTACGCTGTGTACTACTACAGGATAGGGCTCTAGCTCACAAATCACGAATAGCCCGCGATTACTGTACTGTAGAGCGCATAGAGCGCATGTGGTGGCCTAGCCACTCACCCGACGTTAATGCATCCGAGCATGCCTAGCCATGGATTCAACGTCATGTGACTCAGGATTTCACGCCAAGCTGCACTGGGATAGAGTGCAAGCGACAGTGGGAGGAGGAGTGGGATGCGATACCTATAGAGGTGATAAATAAGTAGGTGATGAGTATACCTAAGGTGGTGAGACGTATTATAAAACATGGCAGCAACAACAACTTTCACAGGTAACTTAACACTAGGAAATCTTAGGATAGCAGCAGCAGTATATAATTAAATACCCTTATTAATTTTAGCTTAATAAGTTATGTGGTTGTGTTGTTATGCATTGATTTTGTGAGGCAGCTCACTAAATTGGGATGCGCGATCACATTTTATTTGGGGTGGTCAGTGCGGTGCATGACTAAAAACGAGCTCCTTCGCATAACGTAGATTATCACTGAGCCAGCCATATCACTAAACTAGCCATTTTCTCTCAGCATAACTAACACAAGTTACTACAACTAACGTAGATTATCACCAAGCCAGCCATATCACTAAACTAGCCATTTTCTCTTAGCACAACTAACACAACTTACTATAACTATAACTACTTACTATTAAATAGTAACCTAGTATACTACATGCTTGCATTAGATTTAGAAGATATTTCTATACCCTCCTAGCATGTTTATGCGTTGTGTCTAGTCTTGCTGCAGTTCCTACAGCGCTAAATAGTTAACTAAGCTCCTAGTTAACCACCTCTACCCTAAGTCTTCTGAGATGGCTAAGCTGCTACACACGCCTTAGCAGCTACCTGTGATGCTGCTAGGCCATACTTAAGTGTGCTACTATGCTAAATCTACTTTCTCTTACGCAATTTTCTCTTAGTTATTACTACTAATTACTCTTTAAGCTCTTACACACAGGCCTTAATAAGGATATTTTTGTATAGTATCTCTTTAGCCCCTTTTATAAGCTTTAAGAACCCCTCTTACACTACACTTAGTAATTGTTAGAAGGAGTTACTTATAAGCTTAGATTAAGACCTAAACTTGTGTGTATTGCTTAGTGTCTTAGATTGCTGTAGTGTTTTAGGTAGAGGTACTGCTAGTAGGGTATGCAGCTGCACTTTAAGGTAATCTAACACTACCTATATATTAGTAGGAATAAGCCCTAATGCCTTAAAGGCCTTTTAGTAGTTAACCTTTATAAATATATTAAGGAACACGTCCCTAAAGGCTAGTAGGTGTAACGACGCAGGCAAGAAGAGAGATATCCGGAATAGGTGTGAATCCGCTACGAGGCATATGGGAGTGCTGGGATGATAAGAACACCAGGATATATTCTCTACACCTATAGGTCTTGTACAAAAGGATACAGAAAAACTACTCTACAATGCTACAGTTCCTTGCTCCTTATATATGAGGGTTTAGTGGTAGTTTGGTGTAAGCTTATGCCATGCGACAAGGGCCATGGTCATGAGTCGCTAGAACCATATCCTAGTGGTATCGGATCACTGTTCGAAGAGCGTTGTTATAGTAGGAAGCCTTCCTTATTAATATAGAAGACGTGTTAGTGTGCTAAGTCTTAAATATATTAGGAGTACTTACACTTTAACAGCAAGAAATAGACTACATTAAGTAGCTAGAGGATGTGCAATAAGTAAGGTAGTATGTAGAGAGTAAGGATTTAGTTCTCTAGGTAATAGTCCTTAAACTCCTAGTTAAGATAGCTCTTATAGCTGTCTAAGATAAGTAACCTGTACACTCCTACCTAATATATCTTTATATGCGTGTTAAAGTGCTTTAACTACTTAAGGCTAAGTATATTATTTATCTAACTATTCTTAGAGACTAAGAGCTTCTAATTGTAGGGTATATCTGTCTCCTTATACTAGGCAGAGATGTAGACACGTCCTTTGTAGATAATAAAAGGCAGGGTTGCATACCTAGCAGCGCAGATGCTCTAGATAAAAGTAACCTACTCGCGATCACCTGGCTGAACAAGCTCTGGCTAAGCATGTCTCTCTAAGCCTGTTACAACCTTTAAAGACAAAGCAACACCTATCTAGAACCTAGTTTTATTAAAGTTGTGCATATTATTATTATAAACACTATACTTAACTTAAGTATCCTCTACTAGCTTAAACTACGTGCTAATTATCTTAGGATCTTCCTATAGTATCCTCTATCTATCCTTAGCTTAATTAAAGGCTATTTTAAGCTTGTCTAAACATGTTACAAGCCTACTAGCCTATAGTTTGCTAACAGGCTCTTCACCACACACACTAAGTATCTTATTAGCTATATCTGCTACCTTACATAGCTAGGGCGCAAATCCTTGCAAATTAAGGTTAAGTATATACTAGATAATTGTCTGCTCCTCTAGTATAGTAAGTTTCTAGCAATTAGCGCGTATGTCTAGTTAAAATATAATATTGCAAAGGCAATTAGAGACCTGCTAATAAGGTACATTTAACGCTCTAGCAGCACTATAGATACTGCAAAATTAGCTAGTATAGAAGGGCTAGATAGTAAGGATAACTCTACCTTCTTTAGTAGTATTCTAAAGTTGTTGTTGTTAAGGCATATTATTGTCAGATGCTCGCACTGTGAGCCAGAGTATGTGCTTAACGAGATCTTAGGTGGTATGATGATTTATTGATGATCGTGGCGATGGTGTTCCTCCGTGGCGTCGTGCTGGTTGCTACAGGATTGAAGTGGGGGGGAATTAGCGCTGTTCGCGGCCGCCGGTGTGCAGGCCAATCAGGAGTTGCCAGGTCTCGCTTAATCGACCTGGCAACTGCTGATTGGCTGCACGACAGGTCCCTGCTTGATTGCGCAGATCTGACCTCTCGCTACTTGCTCTTATCTAACACACCCCCTTTAGCTTAGAAACTCTTTAAGCTAACTATTTATATATATATAAGGTTCTTAATTTGTTCTTAAATCCTGTCTAGAGGCACGTTGTTTAGCACTTCTATTAACTCCCTGTTCACTAGACTAAGTTGCTAGAGGAAACCTTCCTACTTATTTACTAGGAGTACCTTTGTAAGTCTGTCTACTATTATGCTTGCAGACTAGACGTGTTCTATAATAATCTTTCTAGTGGCCACCTCCTGTTAGAGCTAGTGGTTGTAGATATCTACATACTAAAGTTTAGTATATAGTTACAACACTTCCTTAGTAACTAGTTAAATTATTTGTTTGTTGTTATATTGTATTGTAATAGCATGTGCGCCTATATTAATATATAGTTTACACAAGAGCTGTAAGATAAAGAGTGCTTCTTTTACAACCTAGGTAAGAGTAAGAAGCTTAGCCTTAGTTGTTAATGTTGTTACTGTGTCCTGCTTGTTTGCTTTCTATGCAATAAGGCTGCTAAAGAGTTTAATTGTGTAGCCTTAGGAGCTCTTTCTGTCTATAGTGTTGTTAGCAAAGGACGTGTTACTTGCTACCTAGAGGCTAATGCCTCCTCTAAGCTGCAGTGATTGCTGTTTAGTGTTAAGTAGATATAGAAGGACCTAGTCCACAGTATCTTGGTGGCTGATGCCTGGATTAGTGAGGAACCTAGCAAGCCTTAATATGGCGAACACAATGTCAGGTTGCGTGGTGACCGCAGCGAACAGCAGTGATCCAATTTTGCGTTAATACTTGTTGATTTCTGCTAGCGCTGCTAGTCCACTCCTTGGCTGTAGTTTAGTTGTTGCCATTAGAGTGTTATGTTGTATAGTTGTGTTCTTAGCAAGGTGACTAATTTTGTCTAAGTACGCTGCCTAAGATAGGTAGATTTTCTTGCTTGCTTAGTCTTGTATAATCTCTATGCTAAGGAACTACTATAGGTTGTGCCCTCCTATGTAGGTGTACTTACTCTATACGTAGCTAATTGTCTATATTACCTCTTACTCTTTTAATTTATTATATATAAGGATAATATTATTAATATAAAAGAAGATAATAATACTACCCTTAGTTAGACAGCAGGGTTTGTGAGGCACAGTCTAGAAACCTAGTGCTTTTAGTATTGCAGTGAAGTTCTTCTGCTAGAGGAGGGGAGAGATGCGCAGGCTGTAAAGTGCCTTGTTTACTTGC